GTAATTTTGTAACAGGAAGTGAGAATAAGCTTTTGCAGGTTTCGATTTAACTGTGCAGTTTTTTTGATTGATTTATCGGTTATCCGTTCACAGCCTTCGAGAAAATAATTTCGCATATCTGGACAGCCAGTTGCAATCGCACTTATAGCTTTATCCGTAATTATTTCATTGAACGACAAATCCAGGTGTTGAAGATTTACATATGAGCGTGCAATTGCACAAATTGATTCATCATTAATAGAAGGTTGTCCATTAAGGTTTAAATATACTAGATTGGGACAAGATCGTGCTATTTCAATCACAGATGCACTGGAAATGTTACTATCTCTATACAAAAAAGCAAGACTTATGTATTTTAAATTTGGACAAAATTGTGTTATTTCACTAACGCATCTATCAGTAATAGCTGTACACGCATCAAAACTCAGATGTACTAGCTTCGGGCAAAATTTTGCAATTTTTATAATTAATACATTACTGAAACCATAACTTCGATCAAGAATGAGAGTGTGTATATCTGGGCATGAACGCATAATTGCACTGAGCAATGCATTTGAGATTTTTAAATCCGCCAATTTGAGATATACCACCTTTGAACAATAGGGAGGCTTTGTTTTTCCACACATAGCTCTATTTAACTTTCTCAATCGCCAATAAAGATGTCCAGATATGTTTTTATCATATTGACTCCGCCGATAACCTTCTATAGAAATCTCAATGCGTTCCCATAGAATCGAAGCACTACAGTGATACCAAAGTCTATTGACAAATAATGCTGGATAGAGTGCTTTATCCTTAGCCAAAAAACTGAATATATTTTCAAGTAACTCCGGAAGAATAAGAGGGTGGGTCATATTTAGTTCTTTATATAATAAGCATTCAGAAACTTGAAGCAGTTTTATATCCTTAACACAGTTCAATAGATTAAAAATTCCTTGCGTCTCTGAAATATCGCCCTGGTTAGGCAGAATGTTTATTATCTTTTAATCTCTCGATCTCCTTTTCTAGATTAAGAGGGGTGTCCCATCGAAGTGAGAAAGACTCAGATCTGGGTTTATTCAGATCTATAACTATAAACTCTTTTTGCCTCAAATAACTGTCAATAATTTTTGAAGCTTTTCGCGGATCTACATCAGTGTAAGGACTTATAATATCTGCAAGTTTTCGAATAGAGCCCCCACCATTAAAGAGAACAATGTGA